ATATATATATATACACACACACACACATACCATATATATATATATATATATACACACACACACACACACACACACACACATTATATATATACCATATATATATATATACCCCAAATTTGTGTGTGTGTGTCACATATATCACATTGGCCTATTTATCTCCACACATACTTGGTTTGTTTGCACTTTTTGACCACTGTGAATAATGCTACTGTGAACATTGTACAAACATCTGTTTGAATCCCTGATTTCACTTCCTTTAGGTATATGCCTAAATAAGTGAGGTTGCTGAATCACATAGTAATTCTGTGTTGCTTTCTGAGTAACTGTAAAACTGTTCTCAGTAGGAGCAATGCACAAGGAGTCCAAATTTCTCTGTATCCTCCCAACACTTGGTTATTGTCTGAGTTTTAAAACAATAGCTAACCTAATGGTATCTCATTGTGGTTTTGATTTGCATTTTCATACTAGTGATACTGAGTATCTTTTCCTGTTTACTGGCCATTTGTATGTCTTCACTGAAAAATGTCTAAATCTTGTACATATTTTTTCCTGTGCATTTTTTAATTGGGCTTTTTGTTTGGGGGTTGTAAAAGCTTTCTAAGTATTCTAGATACAGATGTATATAATTATACATATATACAATATTATCATATTTCTCCCATATTATGGATTGCCTTTCATTCTGTTAATATTATCTCTTGAAACACAGAATTTTTAAATTTTCAATAAGTCTAATATGTGTATTTGTTGTTGCCTGTACCTTTGATGTCATTTCCAAGAACTCATTGCCAAATCCATTTTTATTTTATTTTATTTTTTTTTTGGTACTGAAGATAGAACTCAGGACGTTGTGTTTGTGAGGCAGGTGCAGTGCCACTGAGCTAAATCCCTGGCCCTGCCAAATCCAATATTATGAAGGTTTTGCCCTATGAGTTTCTTTATAGTTTTAGGTCATACTTATGTAAGTCTTGGATCTATTATTGAATTAATTTTTGTATACAGCATTTGTAAGGATCCAGCTTTATTCTTTTGTATGTGGATATTCAGTTTTTCTGACACCATTTATTAAGACTGTCCTTTCCCTGTCTTAGCACCCCTGTAAGAATCATTTGACAATTTATGTGAAGTTTTATTTCTGGGTGATTCTATTCCTTTGGTTTCTTTGTCTTTCGTTATACCAGTACCAAACTGTTTTGATTACTATAACTTTGTTCTAAGTTTTGAAATCAGAAAGTATAAGATCTCTAAGACTGTTTGGGCTATTAGGAGTTCCTTGAGTTTCCATATGAATTTTTAAATGGAGTTTTCTTTTCTTTTCTTTCTTTCTTTCTTTCTTTTTTTTTTAAGGTACCAGGGATGGAACTTGGGCCCTTGTGCTTGCAAGGCAGGCACCAGAACCACTGAGCTAAATACCCAGCCCTCTATTTAAAAAAAAAAATCACTGATATTTTAATAGGAACTGCATTGAATCTGTAGATTTTCTTGGTGGTATAGACATTTTGATAATATTAGGTGTTCTAATCTATGAGCACAGTATTCTATTTATTTAAGGCTTCTTTTATTTCTTTCAGCAATGCTTTGTAGTTTTCAGTGTACAAGTCTTTCACTGCCTTGGTTAATTCCGAACAATTTTTAAATGATTTTTAAGTGGAACCATTAGCAGGGCACAGTGATACACAATTGTAATTCTAGCCACTCAGGGAGGCTGAGGCAAGAGGATTGAAAGGTTGACACCAACCTGAGCAGCTTAGCAAGATGCTGTCTCAAAAATAAAACGGACTGAGGGCCAGCGCCTGCTTCACAAGCACAAGGACCCGAGTTCAATCCCCAGTACCAAAATAAATAAATAAAAAGGGCTGGGAATGCAGCTCAGTGGTAGAGTACTTGCCTAATACGTACTAGTCCCTCCTTGTACTTGCACTTGCATGAGAACCTTCCCCCAGCATCATATCTTTCTGTGATTCATTGTTAGTACACAGAAACGCAACTGATTTCTGTGTGGTGATTTTTATATCCTGAAACTTTGCTGAATTTATTTGCAGGAACAGTGCTTTTGTGAAACCTGCAGGGTTTTCTGCATATAAGAGCATGTCATCTGTGAACAGAGATCATTTTACTTCTTCCTTTCCAATCTGGGTACTTGATCTTTGTCTTGCCCAGTTGCTCTGGCCAGGTCTTGCAGGTCTGTGTTGCAAATGATGTGGCAAAAGCAGGTATCCTGTTTTGCTCTTGACCTTAGAGGAAGAGCTGTTAGGCTCGCACCTTGGAATAGGCTGTTGGCTGTGAGTTTTCCATGTATGTGCTCTCATATTGAAGCAATTGAGTATTTTTGCTATGAAAAGGCCTTGGATTTTTTGAGATGTTTTTTCTCAGTTTTGTTTTGTTTTTTGTTTTTCTTCCTTGGTACTAGGGACTGAATCTGTTTGTTGTTGTTGTTTTGTTTTGTTTGTACTGGGGATCAAACTCTGGACCTTGTGCTTGTGAGGCAGGTGGTGGAACCACTGAGCTAAATCCCCAGCCCCTCAATAGCTTTTCTATACACCAATAATAAACCACTTGAGAAAGAAATTGGGAGAACAATTCCATTCATAAGGCCTTCAGAATGATAAAACACCCAGTGATAAATCTAACTAAGGAAGCAAGAGATCTCTACACTGAAACTATGGAACACTGAAGAAAGAAATTGAGGAAACTAGTAGAAAATAGACCGCTTATGCTCATGGATTGGCCACATTGATATTGTCAGAATGGCCACATTACCAAAAGTGATCTTCAGGTCCAATGCAACGCCCACTAAAATTCCAATGACATTCTTTACATAATTAGAATAAACAATCCTAAAATGTATGTGGGAATACAAAAGACTCAGAGTAACCAAAAGCAACCCTAAGCAAAAAGAGGAAGCTGGAGGCATAATACCTGATTTCAAATTATGCTACAAAGTCATAGTAACAAAAACCTGATACTGGCACAAAAATAGATACAGGGACCAATGAGATAGAACAGAGGACACAGAAACAAACCTTTCTAATACAACCTTCTGATTCTTTACAAAGGAGCCAAAAGCATACCTTGAACAAGACAGCCTTTTTAACCAATAATACTGGGAAAACTGGATATTTATATGTAGAAAATTGAAACTAGATCCTTCTCTCCCTTTAAAAAAGTCAATTCAAAATGGAGCAAAGACCTGAAACTGAAACTTTGAAATTGATAAAAGAAAACATAGAAGTGGGCTGGGGATTTAGCTCAACAGCACTGCGTCTGCCTTGCAAACTCAAGGTCCTGAGTTCAATCCCAGTAACCCCCCGCCCAAAAAAAAAAGAAAGAAAGAAAACAGAGGAACCTGCAAAATTTTCCTGAACAGGACTCCAACACTACCAGAAATAATAGCAAAAATGAACAATGGGACTACATCAAATTAAAAAGTTTCTACACTACAAGGAAAACAGTTAACAAAATGAAAAGATAGCCCACAGAATGGGAGAAAGTCTTTGCCAGCTACTCTTTTGACAGAGGATTAATATATAAAGAACTCACAAAACACCAAAAACGTTACTACTTGTCAAGTATAAATGCCCCATAAGTATATGAAAACATGTTCAACATCTTTAGCCGTTGGGAAAATGCAAATCATAACTACACTAAAATTCTGTCTCACCCCAGTCAGAATGGCTATTATTAAGAACACAAAAAGAGGGCCAGGGATTTATCTCAGTGGTTCCGCTGCCTGCCTCGAAAGCACAAGGTCCTGAGTTCGATCCCTGGTACCAAAACAAACAAACACAAAACAAAAGAATACAAAAACAATAAATGTTGGCCAAGATGCTAGGAAAAAAGCATCTTACTGTTGATAGGAATGTAAATTAGAACAGCACCTTTGGAAATCAGTATAGAGACTCCTCTCCTCGGTACATGCCCAAAAGAATTGAAGTCACCATAAAATAGGGTGTATCTGCACGCCCACATTTATTGCAGTTCAATTCATCATAGGCAAAATATGAAATCTGACTAGATATCCATCAACAATCAATGGATAAAGAACAGTACACACAAACACACACACACACACACACACACACACAGACACGCCTGCAATGCAGTATTATTCAGCCACAAAAAGGAATGAAATTATGTCTTTCAGGAAAATGGGTGGAACTGAAGATTGTCATGCAAAATGAACTAAGCCAGACTCAGAAAGACAAGCACTGCACATTCTCCCTAACATGTGGAATCTTAAAAAGATGACCTGAGCACCGGGCATGGTGGAGCACGCCTGTAATCCCAGCACTCGGGAGGCTGAGGCAGGAGGATCGCTGTGAGTTCGAGACCAGCATGGGCTACACAGTGAGTTCCAGGTCAATTTCAAGCACATAGTGAGACCCTGTCTCGAAAAAAAAAAAGATGGCCTGAAGTAGAAGCGAGACCCTTATTAGACAAGAAGAAGGGAATAAAGGAAAGGAGAGTGTAATTGATGGTAATGGGGGGGTGGACATGATACAAATATAAATATTGAACCCAGTATTTTAAAAAATTAATAGACACTAATAAAATATATTTTTAAAAGACGATCTTATTCTCCACTGACTTGCCTGGGCATTTTTGTTAAAATCCAGTGACACTGGACTTGGGATGTAGTTCACTTGCAGCGTGTGGGAGGACCTGGGTTGAATCACCAACATTTAAAAGAAAAAATCCACTCACCTTCATGCGGGTCTGCTTCTGAACTCTGTATCAATCAACGGAAAGGTGGATCTGTTCCACTGAACTTTGCTGTATTAAGCCAGAAGCATACTGAACTAATTATTATAACTTTATAGTAAGATTCAAAATTATGCAGTATAAGCGTTCCAATTTTTCCTATTTTAAAATTGTCTTGGATATTCTATGTCCTTTGCAATCAAACTTTAAATTTTTAAAAGAAAATCAGTCTGGGCCAGGGATTTGGCTCAGTGGTGCTGCCGCCTGCCTCGCAAGCGCAAGATCCCAAGTTCGATCTCTGGTGCTCCCCCCGAAAAAAATCTGTCAATCTTTTATGGGGTTTTGATGGGATTGTGTTAAATTTACAGGAGAATTTGGGCTCAGGAAATATCAATATCTAGTCTTCCAATCCAGACTATATCTCTTCATTTATTTAAGTCCTTGTTACATTCAGTAATGTCCAACTAATCACTGCTAGATGGCCAGGGATGTAGCTCAGTGGTGCCACACCCACCTGGCAAGCGCAAGATCCGGAGTTTGATCCCAAGTACTGGGGGAAAAAAATAATCACCGCTAGTGTATTAAAAATGAAGCTGACTTTTTATGTTGAGCTCTTGCTAAATCCACTTATCAGTTCTAGTAGTTTTATAAATTCCTGGGGCTGAGGGTATAGGTCAGTGGCAGAGTGCAGGAGGCCCAGCACCAAAAAAAGTTTTTAAAAAGTCCATGAATATGAATTCATTTGGATTTTCCATGTGCACAGTTGTGGCATCTACAGTGAAAGCCAGCTGTACTCTCTAGTTTATATATGTGTTCTATACACGGTTGGTTCCAGGATTACCTATGAATACCGAAATCCAAAGATGCTCAAACCCCTTATATAAAATGGCATAGTATTGGTGTACAACCTGCCCACAGTCTCCAGTACAGTTTTTTTGTTTGTTTGGTTGGTTGGTTTTTGTTTTGTTTTGCTGTGTTATCCAGGCTGCTCTCAAACCCCTGGGATCAAGCAATCCTCCTGCTCCAGCCTCCTGAGAAGGTGGCCTTCGGACACATGCCTGGGTCTCATCCGCTCGGAATTGCCTCCAGAGTACTCACAGTACCTGATACGATGTAAGTGCTAGGTAGTTGCTGTACTGTATGGTTTAGGAAATAGCGACAGGAAAAGTAAGTCCGTACCTGTGCAGTACTGATGCAACTTTTTCCCCAAACATTTCCCATCCACAGTTGGTCAACTCTGTGAGCCCAGAACCTGCAGGTACAGCGGAATGGCTGATTAATGCAGGACATTTGCATATCTATTTATCAATCTATAATGTGTGTGTACCACGGTGTGGCCAGCACCGTAGGTCATTAAGTTCAATGATTATGGTAGGAGCGGGCATCCTTGGTTTGTTTAATCCTAGTCTTAGGAGGAATCTAGGCATTTGTCCTAGGGGCCTATCAGGTTGAGGTTTCCTTTTTAGTTCTAATGTGCTGAAAGGTTTTCTTTTATATGTGGATGGATATTAAATTTGGTAAGAATGCTTTTTTTCTACAATTTTTTCCATCTGCTAATGCGATAACAATTGAATGTTTAATATGATTGCCAGGAGTGGTAGTTCACACCCCTCATCTGAGTTACTGGGAGGCTGAGGCAGGAGAACTGAGGGGTTGAGGCCAGCCTGGGAAATTTAGCAAGAATCTGTCTCAAAATATTGTTTAAAGAGGCTGGGGTGTATTTCAGAGAAAGCCTACTTGCCTAGCATGAGCAAGGCCCTGGGTTCAATCCCCAGTTTAAAAAAAAAAAAAAAGAGCTAAATATGAAATCATCTTGCATTCCTGAAATGAATCTCACTTGGCCATAATGAACTCTTTGTATGTTAAGTTAAATATGATCATAGCTTGTTAGTATCTTTGTATCTATGCTTTTGAGGAGTATTGGTTTATAATTTCTTTGCTTATTGTGTTCTTCTGTTTTTGTATCAGGGTAATGCTGGCCTCATAAATGGGAAAGTGTTTCATTCTCTTCTAATGCCTGAAATAATTAGTGGAGATTGGTACTAATCTTAATCTTCAACAAAATTGCTGGGTTTGGTGGCAGATTCCTGGAATCCCAACTACTTGGGAGGCTGAGGCAGGAGGATCACAAGTTTGAAGTCAGCCTAGGCAACTTAGTGAAGCCCAGTATGTGCAAGGCCGTGTGGGACCTGACGGAGAGTGAATGGTTAAACTGAAGAATTAAACCGCAGGACAAAAGGGCACAGGCTCCATGAGGAGTGACTGGCTGAGAGGTGGGGCGAAAACACAGAAATAATTAAAATGGGAGGCAAAAAGTGCATAGGTTCGGTGAGGAGTAAACAATTACGCTGAAAGGTACAGGCTCCGCGAGGAGTGGACAGTGGAACTGCGGTGCACAAGCGCACAGGCTGTGTGAAAATCAAATGGTGGAACAACAAGAAGTTTAGATTCGTTGCGTGCGTTGCGCCTGGCCCTCGTCCTCCGCTTTCCACAAGAAAACTGCTGAGCTTTCAAACAGCTGCTCACCCAAACCGCTTTTTTTTCTTACCCCGAGCTTCTGAACAGGAGCCAGAGAGTTCTTGACTTGGTGGCTGCTCCTCCTCCCAGAGTCTCCCTGGTGGCTGGGTGCTCTCGGTGGATTAAATGAAGTCTCATTTTTCATCCTCTACGCCGCCGACGGCAGCTCGCTACAACCCAAGGCCCGAGCGTGATCCCTAGCGCAGCAAAAGAAAAAGTTAAAAAAAAAAAAAAGTTTTATAAAGTTAATGAAACTGTCTGGGCTTGGAGTTTTCTTTATAGAATACTTTTAATGAACACTAGAGCTAATCCTATTTTCTGCTTATTTTTATGTGCATTAAGGAATCTGCCCATTTAATCTCAGTTGTCAAAACTATTGAATTTGTGCATAATGTCATTTATTTCCTTTTATGTGCTCACATGATGCTGAGCTAGAACCCAGGGCCTCACACATTCTAGGTAAGTGCTCCACCACTGAGGTAACCCCCAGCCCTCTTACTACTCTTTTTTTTTTTTTGGGCGGGGGGGTACCGGGGATCGAACTCAGGACCTTGCGCTTGCGAGCCAGGCGGGGGAACCACTGAGCTAAATCCCCACCCTTATTACTCTTTAACTGAATAATTTGCTTTGTTTTGAGACAAGATCTCATCACCTTGTCCTGATTGACCTTGAATTTGCTGTGCAGCTCAGGCTGGCCTCAAATACATGATCTCCCTCCTTCGACCTCCCCAAATCTGGGGGTACGGGTGTGAGCAGCCAGCCATGCCTGACTTTTTTCGGGGTGCGGAGGCAGAGTCATGCTGTCACCCCGGCTGGCTTTTAATTTCCTGTGTAGTCCAGGGTAGTATCTAGCTTGCAGTCCTCTAACCTCAGCTTCTTGGCCCTGGGATTATAGGAGCGAGATACCCAGTTTATCATCCTGTGTGTTTGTGTGTGTGGTGCTGGGGCTTGAACCCTGGGTCTTCACACTGAGCTATGTCCTCAAGCCTTTGTAATGTTTAATTTGAGACAGGGTCTCCCTAAATTGCTAAACTGCACAGGCTGGGCTCAAACTTGTGATCCTCCTGAGAAGGGTCCCAGGAGTACCACGATGGGACCATCATGCCTGGTTTGTTATTCTTTTAGTGCTGTAGCAGTGTTTCCTTTTCATCTGTGACATTAATAATTGTATTTTTAAATAACCAATCCTTGGGGGGCCGGGGATTTAGCTCAGCGGTTCGGTGGCCTGACTTGCAAGCTCAAGGTTGCAATCCCCGGTACCAAAAAAAACAAAAAACAAAAAACCAATCCTTCATTGTATTGCTTTTCTTCATTATTTGCTTTATTCTGTATTGATAGCCACTTTTATATTTCCTACTTCCATCTTATTTACATTGTTCTTAATTTGTATTTTTTCTATTTTTTATTTATTAAGCTTATTGGTACATTTTAGGTATAAATTCCCACTTTCCCTTCCCTTTTGGACCTTTTCTTCCTATTTCGCATCATCTATTATACGTTTTGGACCTCATTTACACTTTCAGTTTCTCTCATCAGAGAAACTATTCAGTATTTACACAAGTGTGTCCTATTTATTTCCCTTAAGAGTATGGCCTCAATGTGCATCCACTTAGCTATAAACGTCTCTAGTTTATCATGCCTTATAGCTGAGTAGTTCTCCACCTTACTAAAAAAAAACACACACATCTTTTTTTATCCAGTCACCAGTTGGTGGGCAATTGGACTGTTTCTAAGATTTAGTTATGACAAACTGTGCCACTATAAGCATGGCTGCATATATATGGCTATAGTATGATACCTTTGATTCTTTGGGGGAAGATATCCAGCAAGGAAATACTTGGGTCAAATGGGGCTTCTAATCCTAGTCTTTTGAGGCATCTCCACCCTGATTTCTACAGCAGTTGCACCAGTCTGCACCCCCACCAACAGTGGAGAAGGGTTCACTTTTCCCCACAGCCCCTCCCGCATTTGTTACTGGTTTCTTGACAGCAGCCATTCTTTCTGGAGGTGGAATCTCAGTGTCGTTTTCATCTGCATCTCTTGAACGACCAGTGATGCTGAACATTTTTTCATTCGTTTATTTGCTGCTTCTACTTCTTCGCTTAGAGATGTTAGGGAAGTTTCTGGGGTCACGCATGGTAAATCCTTCTTTTCAACAGACATAGTCGCTGGTTTTCCTTGTTTGTTTTTGAGCCAGTGGTCTAGCCATGTTGCCCAGGCTGAACTCGAATTCCTGCCCTCAAGCGATCCTCCCTTGGCCTCCTAAGTCTGTGCTGCGGGCGCACGCCATCACACCCGACTTGTAACAGAGGTACAAAAAGCTATGCTGTCCTTCTAACTGTTGCTTCAGCTGCATCCTGGAAATACTGATGTGTGTTCTTACTGTCATTCCGTTCAAAATATTTCTTAGTTTTTCTTACGAGTTCTTTTTTGAACCCTGAGTAATTTAGATGAGTGTTATTCAATCTCCTGGTGGCATTTTCAAAATACCTTTTTATTACTCTTTTTTTTTTTTTTTTTTTTTTT